TCAAAGTGTTACTTGGTAAGCTCTTCCTTCCTTCCATCTCCACAGGTTCACTTTAGGGATAGCTGGACTTCATGTACTCAGCAACTATGCACCATCAAATAGCAGAGCAGCAGGAATGGTATCTAAAGCCCTAGGGCCTAAGAAGCAAGGCAAGTTCCTTCAACACTGTCTATAGAGTAAAGTCACCAGCGTGGACAATTCTACAGAATAACACAGAAACAGGGTGTAAGAGGGATCAGAGTCACTCAAGGATCCCCTCCAGCTTCTCAATCTTCCTTCCAAGAGATTCAAGTGCTAAGAAGAACTGTAAAGTTAGTTCCCTAACCTACTGCTACATTCCCTAGTAACCACAACAAACTGCCCCCTAAACAACTCTCCATGACACCAACTAGGAAGACCTCTGCCTCAGGCTGTTTACAACCTCTTGCAGGGACAGACATAAAAATAAAAATGAAAAATAATAATAATAATAATAAAGAGGTGCTATTTCCCTTAAATATGCCTTGGAGGGTTCACAGAAGGCATCCCAGAGAAATCTGTCTGTACTTGAGCTAACTGAAATCATGAAGTGGGGAAGAGGCTTTCAGGAGAGATCCCTTACTACGATGGAAAGAGAGCATACTGTGATGGTATAGTATCACAAGTAGAACACAGATCCAAAGGGCCTGGTACCAAATTTTCTCTAAGCTCTAGCTGGCCCTAACTCATGCTTTACCACCAGCTTAAAGGTCACTGATCATTTCCAGTGCTGTCCTCACCTCCTGTCACACACCAGCCCCCATATTCACTGGCATCACAACATCCTATACCATTATCATCACAACTGTGTGTCACAAATCTGTATGACTATGTAGTCATTAATCCTCATCCTCACTGACTAGGTAGGAATTATGTCTGTTTTATTCAGTTCTGTAACCCAGGTATAGTATCTGTACGTATAGTAACTGTTAGGTATAGTATCTACCCGAACACATTGACAATTTTATTACATGAACAAATGAAAACAGACATGAGCTGCCAACAGTCTTAGGTAAGGAACAGCAATCAGGTGGGGGCTTCAGAAACTGGTCCAGGTGCAAAAGGTCGGTCCTACTGGAAGTACGAAACTGAGCTGGGAGACAGCAGAGACTACCAGACAGGTCTCCAGTAAATTCTTACCAATGGCTTAAAACTGAGTGCGGCCAGAGTCTGGACAGTGATGGTGAGGATGAAAGAGAAAAGACTCACTGCAGAGGTGGAATCCAAGAACACAGCGCCCAGGGGCAAGGCAGAGGGACACATGGAATGAGTGAGAGGTGGTGGTGCCAACCTCAGAATGGAGGACAGCATCTACATACGCTGGCAGAGTGGAAGATTTCTCTCTAGCTCCAAAACTGTATGACTGAAAAGCAAGTAAAATCCAGCCTAGCTGTGTTTAAACCGGCATGTTTCCATTAGTAGGCTTATAAAAGTCATTTTAAGTGACCAAGACACTTCTTGAGTGCACATGCTGTATCAGGCATGACTCCCACCCGGGGATATAGAGACAAAAGCAGTCAGCCTTCAAGGAGTTGCCTGAGAAAGTAACCACATGTCAACAACTGAGAAAATAGGCCCACTGAGGCTGTGATTTGACCAGTTACCATATGTAGTCAATGCTTCTAGAATGCTGACTTCGTACCCAACAATAAATGGTCCAGGCAAATCTGCAATTGAGAGGTGAACAGAAATATATGGATGGACCCTCTTACTCTGCATATGGGGACACTTAAAGCATCATGTCCCATGGACAGATCATGCCCTGTCACTGAGTTGCCCTGGACTGAGTTGCTATTGGCAGCAGACTGGGGGTCACAGCCTAAGAAAAGGACAGAGGCCTGAACCGCATGGAAGAGCCTAACTGAGCACAGGCCAAATTATGGAGGAGCCAAGGTCATTTCTTGAGATGCTCTTGAAGTAACAATGTGGAGATGAATATTCAGGGAGCCTGGGTTCTCTCCTTCCAATGGCAAGAAATGGTTTCCCAAGGGGTGCAAGGCCACAACCCAAAACAGATGTGCAGAAAAGCAGATGAGGAAATGATTCTGTGAAAATAACAGTTCGGATCCAGCCCATCCCAAGCACACCACACTTCCAGTGCTCACTCTCAAGGCCACCAGACCTCACAGATTTGACAGTGTGGCTCTTCCCAAACCACAACAAAAAGCAAACACACCCCAAAGATGGTGCCATACCCTCCTTCCTTTACAAATGCTTTAAAGAATGTGCAGTTGTGTTGTGTCTACCTCAACTCCCGTCTACACACTTAAGTCTGAGTTCTCTCACAACTGATCTCATCTTACTCCCTGCCTGGAATTCTAGCCTATGAGACTGGTTCAGCTATGGCCTTCTGTGAGAAGCACCCCTTACTGTTCACGGCCTCATGCTCTGTGGGGCTGTCTCTACTCCTGTCCAAAGCCAATCCTGTCGGTTTACCTGGGTGGTCTACAATAACTTCCAAGCACCTAAGAGCAGAAACGGCCTTCCAAACAGATAAAAGACCCCAGAATACATGATCAAAGGTTTATCCTCCCAAATCTACTCAGTCTTTCTACCCAAGTAGACCTAAGATTTTGCCTACACGTAATGGGGAGTCTGCATTCTGAACAGCAGGATTTTGTTAAGAAACCCATGCCTCAAACTCATGATCCTCTTATCTCATTCTCCCAAGTGCTGGGATTATATGTGTGTGTTATCTCACACTCTTTTGTTCTTGAGATGCCATACTCATTATGCAGCCTAGGCTGAACTTGAATTCTGGACCCTCCTACCTTTGCCTCCCAAGTACCAGGACTACTTGGTGCTGAATTATTTTCTTACAAAAACGTTTCAGCTAAAAACTCTAGCTTGTAGCTGAGATGATGTTAAATTAGGCCTTCAATATTTCTCACCTATGTGTTTAAGTCAGAAAATTCAGGCTGTTTGTCCCTTTTCAGCCTAGACAGTGTAATGAGCCGATGCTCAGAAAGGTACAAAAGCAAAGAAATCATATCTTATTTAATACCAGTGCCTAAGCATAGCCACTCAATATCTCCCCAAAACAACCGTTTTGTTTTTTTTTTTTCTATTTAGTTTCACTTTCAACATGAGGGAGGTACCCTCACTGGTGTAGATGTGTCCAGTAAAAACAACATAAATATCCTTCAATTTTAATTAAAAGACACTTAAAAGGCTTCCTTTTATGATTATGTGATTAAGTCACATGATCACCAAATAAAAACCCAATCTGTATGTCTGGTCTATAAAAGCAAAAAAATAAAAAACTTTCGAGTGCTTAGTCTAAACCCTTGGTTCTCAACCCATGGGTCGTCGTGACCGGGGGTAGGGTGGGGGTTGGGGGTTGAACAACCCTTTCACTGAGTTGCCTAAGACCATTGGAAAACACAGAATGTACATTACCATTCATTACAGGAGAAAATTACAATTATGAAGTAGCAATGAAAATAATTCAATGGTTGAGGGTCACCACAACATGAGGAACTGTATTAAAGGGTTGCAGCATTAGGAAGGTTGTTTAAACTAATGTGTCATACTGAAATCATTCATTAAAATACTCAGAATAGTATAAAATTTTACTAACAAGGTAAGAGAAAATTTTGTGCATAAAGTAAAATAGTAACTGGCTGTGCAAAACTTTAAAGATCGAAAGTGGCATTGAAAGTTTCTGATCTGAAAGCCTTGAAGATGGGAATATAAGTCTGTGCTGTGCTCTTGACTTTTTACCCAGCTTCAATATGTGACCTTGGAAATGCCATGCAATTTCTTTCATTCCTAGTTCTGTAAAATGGGACAATTTTACAGAACACCGACTGTCAGAAGAACTGCTATGTGGTGTTCTTTCAAAGAAACTTGTCTAATTAGTACGTTCTAATCACCACACATACAGAACATTCCTCTTCAAGAACCCAATTCCAAGAGAAATATTTAAGCAGACGTTGAAGACAGATTTTCTGAAGGGAATGGTTCTATAAATCTGGAAAGCACTGTAACAAGATTAGAAATTAACAAGCTGATTACATAATCCTTGACAACCTAGGCTTCCGACTACACCGATGCATACGGTGATAAGTTAAGTGTGTCCCAAGCCCTACAAAGGATCCAAACTGAGTCTTTTGATGTTGGACAGTAATCTGGGGAAAACTGCAGAAGGAGCCTTACACCTGTAGGTCCATCACTCACTTCCCCTTCAAGCGCTGAGGTGGCTTCACCAAGGCTCCCGAGACTTGGAGAATATGCTTTTTAAGTGGAAGGGAGAGTAAGAAACCCTATAGCCTTTGACTTTCATAGTCTTAGAAACCCCGGAGCTAAATTCTACTCCAATGCGCACCTGACCCGAACTCAGCGAAGCTCCTAGGTTGTAGCTGAACTCACTGTTAACAACACAGCTCGAGGAAGCCTAAGCATAAAGGGTTGCCACTTTCCTGGTTCCCGAATCCAAGCAAAAGGCAGCAAGGTGTTTGTTTTTATTTTAAATGCTTCGGAAAGAAATCAACAGGAACGGCGTCTCCCGACCCGAAAAAAATCCGAGCAGTCCCCGGGGAGCCGCACTGCTGCCCCTTCCGCAGCCCGGCGCCCTTCTCCACAGACGACAACCGCGTCTCCTTGTTATCGTGAGGCGGCGGCCGCTCGCGGACGCCCAGCACAGCGGCCGGACCCCGAGGCCCACGGGGAAACTGAGGCCCGCGGAGCCCGTGCCGCCCGGGGCCCGCTGCGGGCACGGCGCGGAGCCGCGGCGACTCCCGCGCTGCCGCAATCCCGCGGCGGCCGCAAGGGCAGGGCCGGACTGCGCGAGGCCCGCAGGCCCGGCGAGCTCGGGGCCGGGGTGGCGCCGCGGGCCGCGTCCTCCGCGCAGGGCGCCCCGGGCCGAGCGCGCAACTTACTTTCCGCCTGCGGCGGCGCCCGCCCAGCCCCTCTGAGGCGGCCGCTGGGGAGAAGCGCAGGCCCGGCCCACGCTCCCGCCCGGCGCGCCGCACTCGCCCTACCTCAGCCGGCAGGCGGGCATCGGTCCGCAGCGGCCGCGGCGTCGACAACTCCCTCCCGACCGCTGGAACCCCGCACCCAGCGATAATCATAATACCGAGCGAGCGGCCGGGGGTGCGGCCGCACTGCGCATGCGCGGGGCTTACGTCGCCGTGACGAAAGCGGCGAGGTGGGGTCTTGTGTGGGGGCGGGGCCTGGGGCCGGCCGGGGCGGGGCTGGCGGGGCGCACCTGCAGGCCAGCGCCGGCGCTGCTGGAGGGCGTCCTGGCCCGGGCCTGGGCACAGCCCACTGTGGCGAACTGGGGCGCTGGAGATGAATAGGGATTGCACAGGAGGAAGCACCAGGGCGATGGACAGCGACAGGATTTAGCAGCTCCAGCTGGAGCTTTCAGGGGACATCTGAGGGCAGGCGCTGCATCTTGGGGTGGAGGGCAGGGAGCAATGCGAGACAACAAAACGAATACACATATGCACACGCATATATATGTATATATATATGCATATATACATATATATGCACAAACATGCATACACATATGCACGTATATATACACACACATTTTTTTCCTTTACTGTTTCTTCTCTCTGGGAATCCTTTTGAAGAATTCTGTTGATTTTGTTACTATTTAACAGAAAGGAGCAAAACCCAGCACCTAAATGCAAGCTTGCCTCCAAAGTCAGCAGAAGACACTGGCCAATCCAGACAGCCTCTGGAAACAACGTGTACACATCAGACATTAACTTGGCCATTCATGGTTCTGCTCCAAGGTGACTCAGGAAGGGACCTTAGTGGTGGGAGGACAAGAGGGAGAAGACTCCCAGCTGTCACTCCTGGAAGGATGGTGAGCCACAGAGACTAGTCCTCTAGAGTTCCTGAAGAGGAGTCCCCCCCCCAACCTCCAACCCCACCCCTGCTGTTCCCTCATCCCCTAAGAAAGGTCCTCAGTAAAGAAAGACAGGAGCAAAAAGAGCTTCTTACGTGTCCAAGGTTGTCTCAACTGCCTGAACAAAGGAATCTAAATGGCTTTTAGCAATCTCTCTGTTGGTCAGAAAATGTCAAAATCTTTTTCCTTTATTTATTTATTACTACAACATCTACTTTGCATGCCTGAAGATGGCTGGGGAGTGGCATGGATGGGAAGGTGGTCTCTCTGTGTAATAACAAGATCTTCTGCTGAAATGGGGACTTGTTTAGCACTGGGTGGTGGAGTGCATGTAGGAAAGCCTCAAGCTTTGCCTCTGCTCCTTCAGGCCCCACCTCTGCAGTCACTCTGACTTAAGATTATGAAAGGACAATGTCATTTTGTTATGGAAATTCTTTCTTTTTCTTTTTCATTCTTTCCTTTTTCCTTTTTCTTTTTCTTCTCTGTGTGTGTCACAGCATCCATGTAGAAGTCAAAGGACAACTTGTAGGAGAGAGAGAGAGAAAGAGAAAGAGAGAGAGAGAGAGAGAGAGAGAGAGAGAGAGAGAGAGAGCGCTTTGTCCCTCCACCCCTCCACCATGTGGGTCCCTGGGATGGAACTCAGGTCACCAATCATGGCAGCCGGCCCCTCCACCTACTGAGCCATCTCAGAGGCCCTGACAGGGAGATTCTAACTTAGACACGTGTTGAGCAACTGCTCCTAACTCCTAACTCGGACTTGCACAACTCATTCTTTTGCTGAAATACCATGACCTTTCTCTCCTCTGGGAGCTATCACTAGTCAGGGGACACTGTGGCCAAGAGCAGAGTGAAAGTATCACTCTAATGGTCTTCCAAGGGAAGTCCAGTGGCCTTTGTCCTCAAGTCTGTACCCCAAAGGGACATCCATAATCACAGGACAATAACCACAATACATGAGCCCTTTAAAGTGGGGTGTTCATGTTGCTGCTGTGTAACACAGACTCTGACCAAAAGAATAGATTGAAGTGAGTCGAAATTATAAACTGATTTCAGTGAAATCAGCTCCAGTTCTCTTCCTGAGATGAACACACAGTGCTGTCCACAGGTCATTTACTCACCTGCAGGGTGTCCTGGGAGGCTGGAGCACTGGTTACAAGAGGTGACCCATTTTCAGTCCCATACCTTCAATGTGTTAGTTAACATGAGATGATTATGCTTGAGCAATATTTTTAAAATATTTAAATACAAATTAAGTTATTATTACTTTACTTGGCTTTTAATCAAACTTGCTTAGTTTAATGAAGAAACCCCTTCTTGAATCTGCCCCAAGGCTGTCTTTGATATACACTGCTTTTTTAATGTTAGGTCTTTTCATGAACTTGCAAGAAGCTTTAATTAGATACACAGTACAAAATGACAAGACGGAGCTCGCAGGCTTGTGTTACAGTCTCTGATTCAGATCTCAAAAACAACAGAGTGGCAACTATTTAAGGAAGACGTTGTTTATTAGAAGAAAAACAGGGAGGTGCAATGATTTAGATCGAGATGTGAGAACCAAGCAGATTCATGAAGAATTACTGTTTCGTTCTTGACCCTCAAAAGCAATGTGTTTAACAAGGTTACCCTATTCAGACAGTATTATTTTCATCAATCACAAAAACGTTGAAAGTAAGTATATTCAAAGCAACAAATATTGATTATCCACCTAAAGTGAATATTTCGAGTTGTGATTATTGATTTTTCTCTTACATTTTCAACTAGTCATTTTGTACATTAATACATTTCTAAATTTCCTAATGCATTTGTAAATTCTGGCTTCATCCCAGTTCACAGAAATACTTCTTCATTGGAATAGCCTCAAGAGTTCCTCAAAGATTCCTTCCTCACTCTCTGGCATCAGTTAACACCTCCTAACTCTCTCATCCTCTGTGTGTGTGTGTGTGTGTGTGTGTGTGTGTGTGTGTGTGTGTGTGTGTGTGCGCATTTGTGTGTATGCATTCATGTGGGTGCATGCCTATGTTCTTGTGTGCATGTGCTCTCACACATGTGTGTTTGTGTGTTACACATCAGGTGTCTTCTTTAGTCACTCTCCACCTTGTATTTTGAGGCAGCATCTCTTACTGAACCTGGAGTCCACCCACCCATTCTGCTAGAATAGCTGTCTGGGAGGCCCCAGGGACCCTCCTGTCTCTACCTCCCCAGTGCTGGGATCACAGGCATGCACTATGATGCTTGGCTTTGTGCATGGGTTCTGAGGATCCAGACTTAGTATCTCCTGCATTCCAATACTTACTGACTGAGCCATCTCCCTCTAAGTCATAGTAACGGTAACTCTCTCAAAGGGTGATGTGAAACAGTAATTCTTAAACCAGGTTCCCTGTAGCAGCAGAATCCGCTTCTCCTGGGAACCTTGGCTGAATTTTTAATTCTCTCAGATTGACTAAGTCAGAAATTCTAGTTTTTCTGTTTGGATACTTCCAGGTGCTTTTGGTGGAAATAAAGTTTGAGGGCAACTGTTGATGGGTTTGAGTTTAAACTTCAGACAGTACTAACATATTGTAAGCAGTATATCAATGAGAATTTTATAAAAACAACACAACATGGTGTTGTCAAAATACACAGTTTTATGCCCCCTGCCAATGACATGTGTATTTTGCTCCTATAGCAAATAATTACTCGCCCAAAACTTCTATGTAGCCTACTAAATCCCTTATGTCCTGGCCCCTGCCCTTCCTCTCCTTTCTTCTCTCTCTCTCTCTCTCTCTCTCTCTCTCTCTCTCTCTCTCTCTCTCTCTCCCTCTCTCTCTGTAACACATCTTCAAACTGTGGTTGGCCTCAAACTCATAATCCTCTCACCTCAGGCTCAGTGAGAGATTATACCCTCCTGGTGCTCACCGTAGTTTCTGTGAGCCTACAACTTTCCTACTTCTCAGAAAGAGAACTGCTGTTTCACCCTAAGCCTTTGCTTGTCTGCTCCCTCTACTTTAAAATACCACCTGCTTCTGCTGCTTCCAACCTCGAATACTCTAAATCCACACCTCTGGGGTACCCACTGCTGTCCCACTCTGCTCTGAAGCGGGAGTTCTCCGGAACTGCACACCCTCTGCACATACCCCTTGCAGGCATTTTATTTCTTTTCCAATCCAGATGTCTTTAGTTTCTTTTGCTCACTTAATTGGCTGGCTATAACTTCCAGCATAATATTAAACAGAACTTGGAAATGGAAGGGCATTTTTGTCTTTTTTCCTTAAGCCTACGTGCACCTGTAGGTTGTCACTATAGAGTGTGATGTTTTGCCACAGATGCCTCTTATCTGGTTGATAAATTTCATAGTTTGTTGTGAGTTTCATCATGAATGAATATTAGATTTTGTCATTTTTCTGTATGCACTCACACAGCAATTTGGTCTTTGTCCTTTATTAATGGTGTGATACTTTATAAGGATTTTTGTTTGTGTTCACATGCTATTTTCCAATGTCTCTGGTCTCAGAATCAGAAAGTATGTGTCTCCTCCTCAACTCTTTAACATCTGTCATGCTTTCTTCTTCAAATGTTTGACAGGATTCACCAGGAAAGCCATCAGGGCCCAGACTTTTCTTTATGGAAAAACTTCTAATTAGTAATTCAGTTTCTTTACTTACTCTGTTCTGACTTTCTATTTCTCCTCAAATTAGCTTAGATTGTCTGCCTGTTTCTGAGAGTGTCACCGACCTTTCCTTTAAGATACCTGATTTGTTCGTCACTCCATCTCTTAGCAAACTCCTTCACCTCTGCTGGGCTGATGTGACATCACTCACTTGCTAAGATTTTTACTTACGTTTTCTTTTACAATAATTGACTTTTGCTTTTATTATTTCCCCTATTTTCATGTTTTTATCAATTTCCTTTCTGATGATTATCATCTAGCATCTGTTAGGGATTTAATTTGCATTCTTCTGGGACCCTTTGTTTTCTGAGTTAGTCATTAAAAACTACGTTTACCTTGAAATTCTGCTTGGCCACATCCCCTACATTTGAGGGGCTGTGATTCTCTTTCTAATCCTTTCAAGGAACTTCTCCTTTGCTGTGTGATCATCTTCAACCCATGGCTTATTTAAAAGTCTGCTGCTTAATTCTCAACATTTGAGATTTCACAGTTATTTCTGCCCTCGAGTTTTGTTATTCTGTCATTCTCAAAGAACATGCTGTGATGATTTTGATTTTCTGAATAATATTGGGGTTTGTTTTAGGGCCTAATATTGATA